CCTCCTCTCCTGAAATATGTATGAATAATCGTTTCTGAGGTACATACATTTAGAAAATTTGCGCTATTTAAATAGTTAAAAGTGACGATTTTTCTCGCTAAACTTCGTGCCTTCCGCGTCGCTGAGGCCGATTTTCCATTTTATGGAAACATTGCGAAAGCTTTTCATCGGCACTTTTTCCAGTTAGGCAAACAGCTGCTGAAATCCTGAAAGGCCGTAGTGTTTATTTACGCGATGGGGCTTATTTGTAAATCGTAAAAGCCAGTAGAAAAATAATGTTTCATTGGCATTTAACGAGTCGAATTTTACTTAACATGCAACGAATCGCTCGCGCCCGCCTACACCTTGAAGTTTTATTGGGAAAATCAACTTTTTTCTATTTATTGTAGATTTTTTGTTTATTATTATTATTATTATAAATCTATCCATAGAGATTCGGCAAACTCATTTGTGACCTACACAGGCTTCAACAGTATTTCCATGTGGAAATGTGAATTTGAAGGTGAATCATTTTGATATTGCAATGGGCAAAAGTCCCCTTTTCTTTAAACTGCATGATTCTTATCAAGTTTCTTTTTTTTATTAATTAAAAAAAATGTTTGACGAATTTATGGTAAAATCAACTGTATTCTGATCGGATTCGAATAGCTATAAAATACATTTTCCGGTAAATACGGCAATAAAACGATCAGCTCATAGTAGAGAGTGCATTTAAGACAATGGACAGAAAGTATTGAAAAAATGAGAAAAATCTTCATTATTCAATGACATAATAGAAACGAAACAGTAGGACGAAGAAACTAGGCCTAAACAAAGCCTCTTTCTATTACAAGCCCAGAAACTTGTCGATCCATTTTTATCAATTCTTCTTGTTGTTTGTTGTCCGATTTGATTTGATTCGTTTATATTACATAATAGTTTTCATTTGCCTGTGGTTTGGGCACAAGTTTCGTGATTTTAAATATTTCAAAAGCGACTGAAAGAACTTTGCTCCAAAGGTGCGTTTTAGAAACACAAATTCATCCGAAGACAGCTGGGAAATTCCCAAAGGAAAACAGCTCAAAAAACTAGTTTGGGTCGACAATTTTTCATTTGTCTGTGAATTGACATTCGAAAAGTGACTGAAAACATTGAATTCTGTTCCAAATGAGCGTTTTAGAAACAGAAACTCATGGGCCAAACAGCTGTGAAACTCGCACATGAATGATGCTGCGTTGGTGCAACAAATCAATTATATTTTTCAATTATTTGTTGAGTGATTTTAAACATTCAAAAAGTGAGTGAAAGGCCTTTTGTTTTGCCCCCAACGGACGTTTTGGGAACAAATGCTAGGTGCAAAGCACTTGAGGTTACGCAAGTTAAAACAGTTTGAGTATTTTTTATTTGCCTGTGAATTGGACACTGATTGAATGATTTTAAAGGCTAAGAGTGAGTGAAAAACGCTTAACTTTGCTCCAAAAAACGCGTTTTAGGAACACAAATAATTCATCTGCAGACAGCTGAGAAAGAGGAAAACTAAATCGAGGTCGCATTGGCGCAATTAATCAAGGCTGAATAATTTTCGTTTGACTGTGAATTGGGCACGAGTTGAGTGAGTCAAAAAATGCAAAGAGTGTCTGAAGGATATTTAATTTTGCTTTAAAATAGCGATTAAGGAACAGTAATTCGCCTGGAAACAGCTGGGAAATATGGGGTTGCGTTGGCGTCCCTATGTTTGATTCGTGAGTGAATTGGGCACAAGTAGAGTGAGTTAGTCACTAAAAAAGTGACCTAAAAGACATTTTATTTTGCTCCAAAAGGATGTTTTTGAAACAAAATTTCATTTCCAAAACCTTGAAATACGCAAATAAAAACAAGGCTTGGCTTGCTAGTCAAGCGATTTAAAAAATTTCCAAAATGCCGAAAAGAACATTTCTGGAACGAAATCTACCTCCAAAGAGCTGGAAAATATGGAAAGTCTAGTAGGCCGGCAACTTAAAATAGCAGCTCAATTTTTATGATTTTTCAATTGCTTCAAAAGCTCTGAAAAGTGCACAAAAATTGTTGAAATATTTGTGTGGAGATGCGATTTTCAACTCGCAACCTTAAAATTATGAATTCTTCAATTAATTTTCCGAGCTTTGGAGCAGAACCGATTCGTTGGCTGGATTTGGCATTGCCAATGAATCACCCTGTATATGGATTTAGGTAAATTCCTGCTGTAGTTTACATTCATCAATCGAAGCTGGATTTCTTTTTATCATTGCGATTGATTAGTTTTTAAATTGTTTAATTTAAGTGGAGTTTGATTTATGGTCGGCTACTTATGAATTTGTCCAAATTCCGAATGGAGCGTAGCCTAAAATTAGAATTTCGCCGATTTTTCGCCCAATTTCCCCCGATTTCAGTGTCAGCAGTCGAATTTATGAACTGTTTCATATTTGTTTGGTTAAAGTCAATTAAAACCGACATTCGACCGTTGAGATATTCCGCTGGCAACCTAAATATTTATGCCGTATTCTTTAGAGCGTTTTCGATTAAAATTTACCGTGTAAACACGATTTTTTACATTCGCCGTTGTTTATTTCATTATTCTACCTGCCTCTAATTGGATCTCAGTCTCTTCAATCCGGCCATTTGTTCAACTGAACAAGGCGCAAAAAATGCCTTTTATAGGGCATTTTTGAGGAAAATGTAGTTTTGACTCTGTTGTTTCGTTTGTTGGCAGTGGGCTTTAGATTAAGACGCTTCGAAGGAGTTTGAGTGAAATTTCACTCAATGGCATCTTGAATGTTTTAAGTGGGATCTCGTTCAATGCCCATTTGATTGGCTGCGTTTACACTCGATGCTAAACAACTGGCCAAAAGCTATAAAAAGCCTCAAATCGATTGGTTGTGTTTATTATTATAAATACGTTCCCCAAATTGCCGGATTAGCTGATCTCTCCACTAAATTGAGGGCATTTGCCCACTTTTCTGCGTTTAGTCGCTGAATTTATTCTATTTTAGGGGTAATTTCCCAGGAAATTCAACAAGCTCTAGTTTTGGGAACGTTGCCCGATTTATTACATTGTTTGATTTCTCGCGAAAAATATGTTGGCTCCCGCGATCCTACCGCAAGAAAAGTGGAAAACATGTCTCCCGAAAATAATTTGCGAGTAATGAATGGTTGTATCTGGGGGGGACAGCGTGTTTTTTTCCGAAACTCTCGACTTTCTGCCAACTTTTCCGCTCGATATCGTTAAAGGTGAACTCAGTATGTGTAATGCTCCATGAGTAATCCGTGTGCTAATGAGGACATTTTGCAAACGAAAATTTCGCCGCATTTTTGCCATTCTTTCAACGCAATTCGGTCAATTAATCGTCTATTTTAAGCAAAAGAGTTGAGTCCAACTCTGAGCGAATGAAAAATTACCCGTTTAAACTTTTCATTTTATTCGAATGAAGAAAAATATGCTTTTCTCACGTGTTATTCGGTTGCTTTCACCTCGGTTATTTTCGGTTTATTAGTCGATAATACCAGATGAAAATACCAATCTCTTTGAATCTGCGATGTCTGCGTGGTGATTTGCAGTTTTTTCCATCAATCATTCACATAACGAAAATAACCAGAAGGATTCAATCTTTGCAACTTCAGGTCTATTTCCGTTATTTGCGAGGTCGTCGTGTTTTTGTTAGTTGGCCATGTGGGCCGGTTATTTCGACAATTTTGACATTGACATTTGTTCAGTTAGACACCAAGATCTGTCACTTTTTGTCTAACTACGTTCTCGCTCAAGTCTTCTGGAAACAACA